AAAAAAAAAGAACAGACTCTTTCCCTTTCACAGTTGTCTACTTCACCTTTTGGATTTTATTTACTCTTTCAGGGTTTTACACTAGGGAGACAACACGATGTTTACACATGCAAGTCTGATTTATTTCACTCATGAGTATGGTTTCTAGTTGCATCCATCTACCTCTGAAAGCCTGAGTTCATCTTTTTTTATATAAATAGCTGAGTAATACTCTATTGTGTAAAAATACCTCATCTTTTTTTGTATTCTCAGGGCTTATCATTCAGTTGTAAAGGAAATATTTTAAGTATAAAAGTAGTATAATGTTTATAAAGTGTTACAGCTCTGCTAAAATTCGGCTAAGTGCTATGCATTTTTATCTATATAATTAAATTTTCAATATTGTATAATATTTTATTGGCCTCCTTGTGCAACAGGAAACTGAGCTGCCAGAAAAAGCTAATTTGTCCAGATACAAGAGGTAGATAACATTTGAACTCTCTTCAATATTCATTTATGTTCTTGGCTTTGTTTGCCATTACTGGTTACTGGTTTTTTTTTTTTTTGTTTGTTTTTTTCATGAGCATGAACTCTATCATATGCAGCTTATTTTCCAAACCCCCGTTTTTACATTACAGATTGCCTTTGGTTCCATGTCAAAGCAGAAGGCAGGGGAGCAAAGAAATGACATGGCATTGGGAAGGAAAGAAGGGGCGCTGAGCCCCAGCGAGCCCCAGCTGGGACTGAAGGCCACAGCGCGGGCCGGGCCACCTGGCCATTGGCGGTGTTTCGGAGCTAGTAACTTACTGTCCCACGAAGGCTTTGGACCTGGGAGCGAGGCTGAGCTGACTCTAAGAAACGCGGGTCTAAAAGGCTTACACAAAATACAACGTGGCAGAGGCGGAGCCAGCTCCTGCCTCAAGTTTGCTCCGAGTCACGCTACCTTTGACAAGCGTTTACTGAGCGCTTACAGTGCGGACATTCACAGGAGTATGCTGCCCGTGCGTTGCAGAGTCTCTACTTTTTTTTTCAGCAGTTTTGGCTCAGCCACTTTTAAAAGGGCCCTTAGATTCAGAGCTAAAGAGGGGGAAGGTTCGTGCAAGCCTGGCTCTGGCCCCAGCGGGTGGCGTGATCGCGCTGGCCGCCGGCCGCACAGTGACGCCTGCGACCGCGGGGGTGACAGCCGCCCGACGACTCGGGAGGAACGCTAGCCGGCGAGCGGCGAGGCTTTGCTTTTCTGGGCAGCACGTCCGTGCATTCACCTTCTGCTACGTGGCGGCCAGGTGCCGAGGCATCCGGCCTGGCTCCTTCTCTTCTCCGTTCCACGTTTACCATTGCGTTCCAGGGGACAGACCTTTCTATTTGGGCGACAGCTGACGCCGGCAGAAACACTTCATCACCGCAGCCGGCCTCGGGCCTCCGCCCCTGCCAACACACCACCCCGAGGCTGGCAGGGTCAAGTTTCTAACCCGCGCCAGCCAAAGGCCAACCCGGGGGTACCGCGCGCTAGGCCTTCTGGGTAGGCGCTAGCCAATCGCCACGAAGCATACACGAGCGCAGCCAATCAGCACTCGCTTTCTTCCTCAGTCCCGCCCGCCCCGGCCTTCCGCCCGACCCCCTGCGGGCGCCTCAGTCCGGCTGTGCTGTCCGCCGCCTCGGGAGCCGACCGAGCCCGCGAGCCGCTCCTGCTGGCGCCCTCCGCTCGCTGTCGCCGCCTTCACTGAGGATGAGTGGCCGTGCGGCGGCGTGCCGAGCCCGCGGATCTCACCGGCGCAGTTTCATCTAGCGACTGGTGAGGGGGCGCCGCGGCCGGCTGTGCGCCTCGGGC